CCCCAAAACCCCAAACCCCAAAACCCCAAAACCCCAAAACCCCGCCTTGACTCGATTTAGTTGATTTTGTTTTAATAATTACATATACACGTTATCACCACTACTGAGTAAGACCTTCATGCTGTTATCTTTCAGGGACTGACAGATCTTAGAGGTTAGCTCGTTCTTTACATAAATGTAGTTATCAGTCTCTTCCTCTTCCTTGATGGCAACTTCGAGAGCCTCTTTGATCTCCAGGATACATCTGTAATCAGTCCCTTTGCTCTTCCAGTATTTCCTAAGGGTTTCAGTCATGGTTTGATCAAGTTTCACTCTAATAAACATTATTTCAGAGATATAGGCGACTATAACTTTAAGGTCATGGGGAGCTTCAGTTAAGTCTATTTGGAAGATATAGTCACAGATTATGGATGATGAAACCTCATCAAGCTGAGCGAGCACTCCTTCACACTCAGAGTTGCCGATTATGCACTTGTCCCCAACAGGGACACTCATTTCTGATTTCTTTTCTGTAGTTTGTTTGTCTTCGTAATTTGTTAGATCTTTTAAAAGATTTGTTAAGACTTCTAAGGCTTTTTCAGAAACCTTCCTGCTGATTGGCTGTAAAATGATCTTAGATAGAAATCCAAGAAGGTCATTTATGAAGAATCCTCCATGTTCGCTTGAAGGTCCATCAGACGGAAAGAACAAAGCATGCGAGTCGTAGAACACCAGATCATTGATATACCTCAGATAATGCATGATAATTGAATCTATTTCAGCGAATTCATCTGATTTTTGATGAATATGTTCCTCTACTATTTTTGAACAAAGTCAGTCAACTATGAATAGGAGTCTTGAACCAAAGAATTTATGAAGTTCTACCGCCTCAGGTCAATAATACTTCACCGACTCTATGAGAGCCATCACTGTACTGTCAATTTCAGGGACTTTCGGAACTTCCTTAGTGAAACTGTCGTGATCTTTACCTATTCAGGAAATCAAAACAGGGAGTGAAATTTGGAACAACTTCAATTTGTTAACTTCATCAATTTTTGAGGATAAGCTCATGTAAACCTCCAAGATGAGCCTTCTAAGTTGTAGCATTCATACCAGTTGGGTTCGGTTGCTCGCCATGATTTCGACTTCCCAGATAGTGACTTCATTAAGATTGTCAATACTGAAATTAGGGCATGCTTTCTTTACAAACATCTCCATTATGAAATAGAAAAGCCTTCCGATCTCTGGATCAATAGGAGATGGAACTCTGGAAAGAAAACTTAATGTTCATCTTTGGCAAAGCTTGAAGTGATGGAGAGTATCAGCATTGTCAAACATCTTCTTGATGAAATCCAACACATCCATGGTTGCTTCAACTCTTCATTCAAGTGATCTTTTGGGATTCTGAGAGATATAGCCAAAAATTTCAAACAGGTAAGGAGTCTTAATCGAGTACTGCTGGTCACCAGCAGTAATGCTGGGGATCAAAGATTCCTTTAAGCTTTCTGCTATCTTCTGACAATTTTCTTCAGATATCCTACTAACATTTGTCTTGATAAAGCTGTGGAATGTGGAGATAAAGTATGAAATATTGCCAGCATTTTCAGAGAGTAAAATATTCTTTTCAAACATAATTTGTAAAATAAACTCGATTAATTTATCCTTGTCCTCATCCTCTGTGAAATAAAATCTTAATTGTAGTAAGCAGTCAAGGTATTTCTTAGAAACCAATCAGTGGCTATTTTCGCCTGCGAAAAAGTCCTTCATCTCTGTTTTAAGGAAGAAACCCACAAGAAGGTCAATAGTGCTATTTAGTAAAATTTCTGTTGTCTTTCTTACCTCCTTCTAAGAAGTGGGAGAAGACCATTAAGACTGCTTCAATTCTGCAATCTAGCTCTTCCTCAGATCAATTGTCTGAATTTTCAACTATGGATTGTGCAATCTCAATGATTTGTTGGAAAATGGAATGAAGTTTTCTCACTTTCAAAGAAATTTCGAGGATCAACATTTTGATCTCATTCCTCATATGTACAAATGAAGATTGGTCATCTGTCATATCAATGATGAGGTCTTCATTGTCGCTATCATGCTTTTGTTTAGAGGAACCTGAGATTCTGAACTTCTGCCTGTACTCCCTCTTGGAGGGAACAGTTGTCTCAATATCGAAGAACTCTGGGTAAATAGTCTTCTTGATACAAATCTGGATTAACTCTTGAATCAAAGCGTTGAAATCACTTTCTCTTTCTCGGCTAAAATGGACCATTCGGAGAAAGCAGGAGATAGACTCCATCAAATGCATTCATGATTTGTATTGGTTGTCGAGTTTGACTAGAATCCCAATGTTGAAATCTATCACTTCTTTTTGAAACTTGTAATCGCACCCATCAATTTCAAAGGAGGACTTTATGATGTCTTGGAGGGTCAGAGTCAAGAAATCAAGCGTGTGTTCATCAATGTCTTCCTTCATTATCTGACAACACTTGTCTAGCACCTGTTGGAGAGCAGAAGCATCTACAATCACCTGCTCAACCAGTTTGGAAGTGAGCTCTAGGAATCATATAAGACTATCATATTTTGTCAGGTCGCAGAATAACTCAGTGTCTTGTTGTTTGATAAGGTCAGCTCTGAAAATAAACAGCGAGGCAAGCCCTGACATTATAGCATCGCTTTGGATAGAGCTATCATTTAGTAGGAGGTCCTCAAGCCTGTCAATAAAGCTTTGCCCAAAGTCTCTCTTCATTATTATTTCTTTCTTGAAGGAAAGTTTGTTGTATTCCAAATTTTCGAAGGCGTCTTCGTAGAGAAATTTAAGATATTTTCAGAGAAACTTAGAATGCATTATACGATTCTCGCCATCACTTTTGTCAAAGAAATCCATGAACCATCCAAGTGTAAGCTTATACCTAGAGTCAGCTTTGTCATAAAGAGCGAGTTCAGTGAATAACAGGACGAACTGGTTGGAAATAATATTAGCCATGTGTACCAAATGAAATTTATTTTCATATAATTGGAACAAATCTGCGTAGAACATGTCCTGGTCGATGACCTTGTCCCATGAATTAGTCACTATGTAAGTAAGCGCTTTCAGAGGCCATTGGAGGCAGATTAGGTCGGTGGTATCTGTCGTGCCACTGATTGCGAGATTTCAAGATTCTTCAGTAAGCCTATCCATCATGGCCATAATCTGTTGCCATTCATTAGCACTGTTGTTAAGGTAGCTTTCGATATATTCCTGGGCTATCTTCTTCTCCCCCTGAGAGGTGTGAGGGGAGTAGTATTTAAGAAGCACTTCTTCTACGTTCTCCATTTTGTATTGCTAAAAATATTTAATTCTAATTTCTAGGAGCAACAATATAAAATCTCTAACAAGGGGTTTTGGGGTTTTGGGGTTTTGGGGTTTTGGGG